GGGGTTCTCGTTTGAACCTCCACCTATATATATATATATATATATGCTTAATGATGTGACTAAATTCTTTTTCTTCTTGCAGTGCTCATAATTGGAGATATGCCGCAAAACAGTTCTTGAAGACATATATATATCCTGAGGATCTTATTGTTCACTGTAAGCATTTCCCTTAGTGCTCCTTATTTATAGTTTTTTTTTTTATTATTATCATACATGCATGGTTTAGTGGAGGACTAATGAAAAGATGTGCATGAAGAATATCTTCCAATTCTGGAGGATGAAGACACCTTTATCATCAGACGATATATAGTTGACTATCATGGTATAATAAGCATGCTTATATATGGACTCAGTATATGTGTGCAAGTTGCAACAAACCACAGTTGAAATAAAATTGTCAAATTGATGAGGTGTTAAAAGAATTACCTTTTCTTATTTGAAGACCAGATAAACAGTTATATATTTGTTAAGATACAGTAGCTGCTGTTGTTGGGTTTGAAATCAAATAACATACACTAACTACAGCAGCTATAGTTTTATTATGATTTAAATAATGAAATTCCTTGTGCCAAAAACAATCTCATTTGAAGAATGTATCATCAATGGGATAAACAGAACACAGCAGCTATATATAGTTTTAAGCTTCCCAACTTGTTATCCCAATATTCGTGAATCAATCAACCATCATTCACCACTACAAATTCCCATCAAATTCTTGCCCACATTGCCAAAAACCCCTTATTATCATTTCCAACACGCAAAACCACTCAACAAAAACACATAAGGAAACATGATCAAGAAAATTTGCCAAAACCCCATATAAGGAATCTTAAGAAAAGGTAAAACCGACCTCACCCATTAAACAAATATGTCTAAAAAACCTCAACCTTGATCATCATCAAGAAACAACAACAAAAATAGAAACGAACCCAACAGGAGGAACAAGATTCTCGATTACAACTAAAGATCTGTAATTTATTACAACTGCAAGTTTTTCTGTCCAATACAAACAGGGTTTCTGTCCAAGCAAGTATCATGATGAAGAAGACGCATAAATCAAACCCATTTGAATCGAGAAACCAAAGAAGACGCA